TTGGACAGTTCCTTCTTAGCCTGTGGCCACTGGGTATTCCAGATCCACATTCTTTTTTTTTTTTTTTTTTTTTTAAAGACAAATTCTCACTCTGTTGCCCAGGCTGGGGTGCTGTGGTATGATCTTAGCTCACTGCAACCTCCAACTCCCGGGTTCAAGCGATTCTTCTGCCTCAGCCTCCCGAGTAGCTGGGACTACAGGCATGCGCCACGATGCCAGCTAATTTTTGTATTTTTTTTTTTAAAGTAGAGACAGGGTTTCACCATGTTGGCCAGGCTAGTCTCGAACGCCTGTCCTCAAGTGATCCACCCGTCTCAGCCTCCCAAAGTGCTGGGATTACAGGTGTGAGCTACCACGCCCCGCCCATGCCTTCATTCTAACTGTTGGAGTTTACTTGGGGCAACAAAGAACCCAGCTGGGTGGCAGCCAAGAGGACACCCTGCTGACTCACCCTCCTGTGTGGCTCATGTTTGAGTGATGATCAATAGTCAGGATCCTTTGATGTGCAAACCGAAAGGGCAGGCAGATACAAGACAGCAGCGGGTTCTTGCCTCTAGCACCAATGCCTGTGGCCCTCAGGATTTCCTGGGCGGGAGTAGACCCAGTTCACCATCTACCTCACATCTGTCAAGTGTCAGTCAGTCACCAACTAGCCCTTGGTGTGTACAAATTGCCGAGAGGCTCACTGAATGGAGGGGGTCCCCACAAAGCTCCACTGGTAAGGTCTGGGGCGAGAAAAGCAGCTTTCCTCCAAAGCAGGGAGTAGAACAGATGCACATCCATGATTCCCTCCACACACATTTATTCAGCATCTGTTGTGTCTAGACGCTCCCGGTTGCAGGTGCTGGAATACAAACCCCTGCCTCATGATGGCTTCGTTTCTAGTGCCAACATCTCTGTATAAAGAAACCTTTCCTCCGATCCTGCCTTTCTAATGATGGGGAAGTGAGTTCCAGGGTTGCAGCATCAAGTCTAGGGGTGCTTTTTGGTAAATTCTGCATATGGGAGTGGTCATTGGCTTCACACACACTCCAGAATTCAGGTGATTATATTGGTACTCAGGTGGAAAATTAGGGAGGGTGAGCCCCACTGTAACACTTTCAACTTAAAAACTGGCTCTAATGCTGGGAACTTAGTTCTCATGGAAGGCAAATACAAGGGAGCTTCAGGAGGTGCCTGGGAACCCAGGCTCTAGGTGCTCCTCATATGCCAGTCACTCACGCAGGGAGGGCCTGGATATAGCATTACAGAAATACACCCCAGGATTTACAAAGAAACTTTTTTTATTGTGGTAAGATATACATAACATTAAAATGACCGCTGTAACTATTTTAAGTGTACAACTTAGTGGCATTACATACATTCACAACGTTGTGCAACCACTAAGTTTTTTTGTAAACTGGCGAAGCTGCATTGACGTTCTCAACCCCTTTTAGCAGCAGTGAGTTGCATAGGTTTCTTTTTTCGTCTTCTATGAATAATACAACACTGGAGGTATGTGAGAGAGTGGATAGGGCATGGGCTTGGGAGCCAGCCTGCCGGAGTGTGAAGGCAGCCTCTGTCATTTGCCGGCTGCCTGCCTGGGCACAGCACATTGTCTGGGCCTCACTGTCCTCTTTGGTATAGGGAACATAATAGTGCCTGCTTCATAGCACTGTGGTGAGGATTAAATCCACATGTGTGAAACGCTTGGAACACTGCCTGACCTAGTAAATGATCAATCAATTTTTGTTTTCATTGGTAAGTGCAAAAGAATTGTTTGTGTAGTGGGAAGCTCATTCATTTTTAATATAAATCTTCTTTAAAAGTGTTACAATCACTTCATTTTCCTTTGTCCATTATATAAATCCTTTTTGAATATCCATTATGTGCCAAGGCATTTGTACTAAGCACTGGGGACAAACTATAAATGTTACATGAATATAAATGACTTGCCCTCAAGTGACTTACAGTCGGCTGGAGGAGGGTGGTGAGGGTGCATACTCACAGGGGCACTGTAAGGTCTAACAGGAGCACCCACCAAAAGCTTGGAGGTGGAAGGAGGGGAGTATGGTATGAGAAAACTTTTTAATCTGGTTATTTTACATGGGAAAAATGTGCAATTAACCATATTGAAAGGGAATCTCCTGAACAAGCCTCTCATCATCTTTTACTATTCAATCAACCAGCTCTAAACTTTTCTTGGAGACTCAAATGCATGATGAACATCAGTGATTGTACAGGATATAAGGCAAAATAATGCCTCCAGTGGCTACTCAGCTGTGTATAGAGCTGTTTGTTCTTAAATGAATGCTTCCTGCTGAGGTTTTAAAATTAATGGGTCTGCTTTCTTTGGGGCAAGGGCAGGAATGTTAGCTGTTATTTCATAATGCTGCTACTCTGCTTACATTTGCAGATTTGTTATTTGTAATTTGCTGTGGACAGGAAAATTAGGTGAGTGTATTTATTAGGATTATATTTAAAGTCAGATAGAGCATATCTAGCGATCTCACTGGAAAGTGGAAGCATTAGTAAGTGGATTTTTATGTGATTGTGTGGGGTGGGCTGTGGTGGTCTTTTAGAGGCCAGTTTGCTTATTTCTTGGTACTTCGGTGGCTCTAGGTTGCATTTCATGGAATAGTGACTTCTCGGTAATTATACGGACGAAATTCTTCTTGCAGTGATGCTTTTCCAGCAAAAGGTGCTTGTCTTCTATTATTTCAATACGTGGTAGGTTTGTCCTACTTATCACTTATACTTTTACGTCACTATCTCCTTTTTTTTTTTCTTTTTTTTTTTTGGAGACAGGGTCTTGCTCTGTCACTCAGGCTGGAGTGCAGTGGTACAATCACAGCTCACTGCACACTCAACCTCCTGGGCTCAAGTCATCCTCCCACCTCAGCACCCCTCAGTAGCTGGGACCACAGGGGTGTGTCACCACCACCCATGGTTAAATTTTGTAGTTTTTGTAGAGATAGGGTCACTTTAACAACGACAGCAGTTTCTCTGTTCCTTTGATTTTGTTATTGCTGATATGAAGCACACCTGACATACTCCTACGTAGCCTTCAAATCCCAGCTCAAATGACCCACTCTGAGGAACTTTCTTATAATAAATCATACTTCTTCTGCAGAACTCTTATATCTCTGTACTTGTATAACACTTTTAATCCTCTGACTAGAACTCAAGCTAAGTGACATGTCTATGTCTACGTCTCTTCTCAGTAAGGGAAGAGAGGGGACTGGCCGGCTGACTTAGATATGGAAGCCCATATGAGTGGAAGAACCAGCAGGGACAGAAAACAATGAGAGAAGCAGGAGGGCTAGAAAGATTGGCAGAAAGAATGGTACCAAACTTAAGGGTAGAACTGACAAATGCTGGAATTTCTGATGTCTTTGGTGAACATGAAATCAAGGTGATCCGAGACATTGACCTCACTTAGACATGGCAACAAATGACTAATTAACACCATTAGGCAAGCAAAATACGCACAATATATCCATATATAATGTCGAGTAGTAAGGTGAGATGAAAAAACTGGGAAAATGAGAGTGGAAAATTCTCTATCAGATGGAAAGGTTATGGCAGGCTTTTTTTTTTTTTTTTTTTTTTTTTGAGATAAAGTCTTGCTCTTATCACCCAGGCTGGAGTGCAAAGGCGTGATCTCTGCTCACTGCAACGTCCATCTCCCGGGTTCAAGTGATTCTCCCACCTCAGCCTCCCTAGTAGCTGGGATTACAGGTGCCCACCACCACGCCTGGCTAATTTTTTGTATTTTTAGTAGAGATGGGGTTTCACAATGTTGGCCCATGTTGGCCAGGATGGTCTCGAACTCCTGACCTCAGATGCTCCACCTGCCTCGGCCTCCCAGTGTGCTGGGATTACAGGCATGAGCCACTGCACCCGGCCAGAAGGTGTTTTTTATGAAATGCAGAGATCTGCATGAAGTGAGGGAGTGAGCCATAATAACTGAAGATGGGTAGAGGGGGTGTACTTGGGATATAGCAAGGATACCAGTGTAGCAGAAATGAGTAGCAGGGAGGGTAGGGTAGGGTGGTGGGGAGGGTATGGAGAGGTCTTTAGAGAGGCAGCCAGAGGCTACACTGGGGACTTGCAGGGGATGCTAAAATTTTTGGTATTACACTAAGTGTGATGAGAAGCCACTGGCAGGTACTGAGTAGACAGATGACTAGACTTAATACCTGAATCGGATCATCCTGGCTAATGCAGGGTGTAAGCTCAAGAATGAGAAGCAGGAAGACAGGCAGTTGTTTTGACAGCTTCATGCATTATAATGGTGGTTTTAATTGGGATGGTGGGGATGGAGGTGAAAAGGTGTAGTGAAATTTGGTAAATATTTTGAAAGTACATTTGAAAGAAATTTTGGCACACTGAACGTATGATGTAAAGTCAAGGATGACACCTAGGATTTTGGCTTAAACAAGTAAATGAATGAACAGCTCGTTTACTGGCATCTTGAAGATTTGATCATCCTTTCAGTATCTGCTCAAATTTAATAAACCTGTGTCTCCCCTCATTCATTTTCAGTTGGCAGATGCACCTTGCTACTGATGGCTGTCAGTGGCTGCCGGTGCACTGCTCTATCTGATGTCTGTGTCTCCATCTCTCTTCCACTTGAGTGCCAGCAGCTGAGAGGAATTCATCCTTTCTGTGTTCCATTATTTTATATTTTTATGACAGAGGATGTAGTCAAAGTTAGAAAGGAGGTGTTTTGCCTGGATCCATTGAAAATTCATTGGGTTAACTGAAGATCATGAACAAGTTTCCTTTCTTTAGGGACCGGTCAGCTTTGGAGGTCACTGAAACTAGGAAAGAATCTCATGTGGCTACCCAACTTAGCAAGAAAACTTAATTTTTTTTTTTTATTTTTCAGAAACAATTAACTGAGAGGACACATCTAGCCTTGTGGCCTTTTCCCCCTTTATCCATGCCGCTTTGCTGTCTGAATTACTCTACACCGTTTATAGAAAACCCATAGCTTTTATGCTGTCCTTCGAGTAATGATGCACTTTGTCACACCTGGTAGAAATTTACTAGTCATAAATGGAATTATTTGGGGGATTCTGTACAAATCTAGACACCCTTTAACTCGAGAACTTATGAAGAAGGTTTATGATGATCATAAGGCTTATGATTATCTTGACTGTGGCAACACACAAACTTGTGTTGTCATTCTGACAGGTGAAGACCAAAAATGAAAGCATATCTACAACCACATTTCTTCAACGTGATAAGTTCCTGGAGATTATTGTTTTAAAAATGTGCTTGCTGCCTGCCACTCTGCTACCAAAAATAGCCAGTCTGAAGGGGCTAAGTGTTAGAGGACATTCCTGGAAACTAGTTCATCAGAGGCCATTTGTGACAAAACATTCTTGAATTATTTTTCACAACCGTCTCTCTCTAGCAAATGAAACTAATTTCTAGCAAAAGAGGTAGGTCTTCTTTAAGAATCAAATATACTTTTTACTGCCAAAACGTGAACTAGAAAAATGAACTTAAGCTAGTAGTTTATCTCAGCCATTACAGAGTATCTAACTATTAATGGGAGTCAATGGCGCCAAACACACAATGTACTACAATACTATTTTAGGAGGCAGAAGAAAGGATTGGAAGAAAACATTATTGGCATTTGAACCAGAAAATCTGGAGTCAGGGAACACAGAAGTTCTTTGTTAATAGTTCTATAACCTTGAACAAGTTATTTTGCCTTTCTGATTCTGGGTCTTCGGCTACGAAACACGGCCAAAAATGACTGCTCTGTGTCGTTTGTGTCAAAGACTGAAAGCGTCACATCAGTGAAAATTTGGATAGACACATTGCCGCATACAAATCCGATGCTTTATGATCTCACACTGCACGGATTTGGAAACTACTGCATGTGCACGATTCTCCGCCTAGTTCCCTGCAGGTGGGGATGTTTCCCCCCCACCCCGGAAAGAAAACTGTAGCTCTGCCCTGAAGATGAGTCCCACAGAGGTTTTGCAGGGTGGAGTTATAGAGAAATTGACTTCGGGGTGAGTAAAACTAAGATCTGGGGAAAGCTGCAGCCACTTTTCCAGGGTAAGGGGCGGTGTTATATGCTTCCTCATGCGGTGAGGACGAAAGTGATCATAAGCCACAGAACGTGGCGCCAGGGTTCACTACTATAAACCATTTCAGGAGACGAAGCTCTGACCTCCCAGGCACCAAGATTTTTACCAACAACCCGGGATGCTCACTGCAGGAGGGAGCGGGTGAGGAAGACACAGGGATTCGAGGGCGGGACAGACAGGGAGAGAACACAGGTTAAAACAGAGACTTCTGTTTTAAGGCTCTCGGGAATCCCTGAGAGTGCCCTTGAGGGCTCCAAGCGCGGGAAGCGAGCGCCGGGAAGTGGCGGTTACAGTCCCGGGTCCCGCGCCCTTTCCCGCGCCACTGCTCAGCCGGTTCCGCCGCGCCCCCAAGCCCACGCGGGTCTCGGCTCAGACTCTCGCGCCCCCACCTGGCCCGCGCCACACCCCACCGGCCCATCCAGTAACGGTTTCTGGACCCGCGGCCTCTCCCCTGCCCCCTCCTTCCCCCCTCACGAGAGCCGCAGTGCTGCGCCGTTTGGAGAGAGGTCATCCGCCCCGGAACCGACGGGAGCGGCCGCAGGTCCGGCCCGTAGAGGCGGCGGAGGGATCCCCCACTTCCAGCCCGCCCCCTCGGGGCTG